AAATTGAAGGCTATTCTCATAAATAATTTAACCAACATAATTTAATAATGAAATTTGACAAAATAGTTGGAAAAATAAACTCAATCATCCAATGAAAAATTTATCCAACACTAACTTGTGCAAATTTGAATATTGTAATCTTCACGAAGAACAATAATAATCCAAGCACAAGTTTGAACATTTTAGATTTTAATCAACTAAAAAATGATTAAAACCAAAAATTAGTTCATTATGGAATTTAGAAAGTCAAGATCCAACCAAATAAACAATTAAAGATTGAATCTTTAACATTTGGAGGCTTCAAAAATGCATTTTCACATCAAACATTCACACTCCAAGCAATTATTTTGCAAACACTACCACAAAAATATGAATACAGGACACCCAAAACAAGTAATATAGCACGCCTTAGAGGCGTTCTTCTGAGAGGGTGTCTTATAATAGGATAGGCGTTCTTTAGCAATATAAAAAGAGAACGCCTATCATAGATAGGTGCTCTCTTTTAAATAATAATAGTAATAGTAATATTAATACTAGTATAGGAATACTACTACTACTACTAATAATAATAATAATGATAATAATAATGATAATAATAATAATAATAAGAAGAAGAAGAAGAAGAAGAAGAACAACAACAACAACAATAACAATGCTTTGCTCTGCTCTGCTCTTCCTTAAAGCTCAAAAGAACAAGGCCGCATTTAGCAATCTAGCATATGGAGGAGGGTTGTGGCCGCATTTAGCCATCTATTAGAGCCGCATTTAACAAGGCCGCACTTAAAATCTATTGGAGCCGCATTTGGCCCAAGTGAGAATTTGAAGGGGAGTAGGATTTAGTAATGGCAAAATTGTAAATATGAGTTTTATTTTTAAAAGAAGAGTATAAATACCTTAAAACCTCAAGAATTTTCCACACAAGTTACATAATTGTCAGATTTCACAAAAACGTTTAAAGGTTTTCTCTTTATTTTCTCTCTCATTTTCCTCCTTATTTTCCCTTTCTTTTTCCCTTTTTTTCCCACGCACTTTCTCCTTCCTTCTTCCTCATCACGCATGGCCAACACCACCGGTGCCACCACCACCACCGACGCCCACCGGCAGCAGCAACAGTGCCGACAGCCCAGTCGGCCGGTGCCTCCCTCTCTCCACCTTCTCCCTCTCTCTCTCTCTCTCTCTCTCTCTCTCTCTCTCTCTCTCTCTCTCTCTCTCTTTTCGGTTAGTGTATTAAAAAAAAATTCTTTTATCCTAAGATTAATTTTATTGATTTGTTGTTTTAAAGGCATGATTATATGCTTAGAATTGATGTTGGTTGAACATGAATTATTATGCAAGTATGTGAATATGATATTTGAAGCATGATACAAGCTGAATATATGTGAATCATGGAAGTATGTTTTATTTTTTAGTATCAAGGAAACATGAAATTAATAAGCAAGGCTTATGTATTTTTAAAAGAACTATAAATAGAATTATTGAACATGATTCATGAATTTTATTCTTTCCCACTTATTATTGGTGTTGAGTCAAGGAAGTTAGTTTATTTTTTTGCTCTCAAGTAAGTTGAAATTGAGTCAAGAAAGTTTATTAGTGCATTCGATACACCAAGGTAGTAATCGTGTAATTTGTTTTGCACAGAACTAGGCAAGGAACCTTAATTAAAATAAATAGTATGTGCTCACTAGAAGAATGTGTTGATTATTGTTATGGTTATTCTTGATTGATTGGATGGAGTCTTCACATGTTAAATTGATAAATCACGTAAAGTGTAAGAGGATACGCACCAAAACTCTTGAAACGTATATACCTTTAGTATGAACAAATGGGGAGAGTTATGAGGTTTTATATTTAACCATAACTTCTACAGGGGTATAGGGTGCTGTACTTTATTTTATTATTACTTATGCGCTGGAATTCCGTCACCAAGATGTGACATAGTAGGTGCCAATTAGGGGTGGCTCCCTAATTGGAAGCTCCATTTTTAATGGGCTATTGTTAAGAAAGGAAACCCGTTCGATGCGTAATCCAAAGTTATTATTTAATAACTAATATTGCTAATTATGAGTCAAAGGTAAGTTGATTGTGATTGTATGACAAGCATGTTTTATTATTATTCTTATTGACAGGATATTCATGTTAGTGTGGTGCATATGTACTCATCTTTTGCTGTTTCGTAATATTATGTTTGTGTTAAGTGATAAGTCTATTTTATATATATTTTTATTCCCCGTCCCACGGTCATATTTGTGCTTATTTGAGCTCTACGGAGCTATTTTTATTACTAATATACGTTTTCTAGAGTTTTTGTAGAGTTGGTATTATTTTGTAGGAATTTGCAAAATTACGATAATTCCTGAGCTTATTGAGCCACTACGAAAATATTAGAGTCGGATCGTATCTTATGTCCGTATATTTTAAGCCCAAGGCCGAGTTAGAGAATTTAATCCGGTGATTAAGGGCTTGATACAAGAGAAGGTCCAAGATTTTACAAGTTCTTATATCACGGATTAAACAAGTGAATGAATTTGGGCTAATGAACTCTAAAAGACCAAGTCCAAGAACAAAAGGGAGGTAGAGCTTTGAAGCCCAGCTTGCAGCCCAAGCTAACCGGGCCCGGTCGGGGGAGGCATGGCCCGATCGGGCAGATATAATCAGCGACTCACTTAGGCTATTTAAGATATTGGGCCTACAAATCCTTGGGCCTTACTTCGCTGAACACGTCTTTATTTGCTGAAGGAATTTGTTTGGTGAGGAGTTTGAGTGGGAATAAAAGTCCTTTGACTTTTCTTATAAAAGGGGTAGTAGTACGTAGGTTGGTAGCTTGAGTTTAGTTTTGTTTTTTTAGTTAGTTTTAGTTTTTAGTTTTCTTTTTTTAGTTTAGTTTTTCTTCTCTCTTTATCTCTCTAACTTTTCTCTCTCTCCCTTAATTAAACTCTTAGTATTATTTTTTCTCTTGTTTCTCTCTCTACAACTCTTTGTTTAGTCTCAGTTATTTATTTTATTTCTTCTATCATGTCTTGTTTAATTGTTTTGTTTAGTTTATATTTAATTATGTGTGAGTAGTTTAATTTCTAGGGTTTATGGGGATCTAATAAATAGTATGAAGGGGTAATTTGTTGTTGTTGATTATCAATGCTAGATTAATTTCCTATTGATTAATTTAATGCTCTGTGACTAGATTAGGCCTATCTTTTATGCATGAGTTTGACAATATTGATTCAAGAATCGAGAGATGAGAATTAATGTTTAGGTCTAGTTTTAATAGGCAAGTTAATTTATAAATGATTAAGTCAAGATTCGAGAGATGAGATTTAATACCGGTAAATTAATTGTGTGATTGTAATACGTAGCGAGAGCCCTTTACAATCTGGTTAATTGATGCATTGATGATTACTATTAATGATTATTGGTATTGCATGATAATTTCTTATTGAATTGTTTTAATGTTTTACAATTGCGGCTTGTAAAAGTATAGCAATATTAAATTGATGAATCGAGCAGATGTTAATTTGATTTTAAAGGCTATTTTCAATAAGAACTTAGATCTAGTAAATTGCGAGAGCCTGTTAGATCTATGTTGATTAATAAATTGCGAGAGCCTGTTAATCATGTTATTTATGCAATGTCAATGATTGATTACTATGTTTTACCCTGAAGTATTATTTATTGGTGAACCTATGCCCTAGATCCTTTTATATATTGTTTTCTCCCTATTCCTACTCTTTGTAGTTTAGTTTCATACTCAATTATAAATATTGGTTACTTAGATAATTTAGATTATAATAATTAATTAGGAGTAAAAAGACTTATTTCCCTGTGGAGATCGACCCTACTTCCCTATCTACTTTAGTTAGAGGACTTAGGTATTTATTTTTTATTAGGGGATACGACTTTACCCTGTCATTAAGCTTTCCTTTGGTTGGCCCTACTATGACCCATTTATATGGTGAGTAGATGGTTGAAACAAAGAGGAAGTGACAGGTACTTTAAGCATGGAGAGCATGATGGGAATGAGTGTCGAGAGTTATTAGTTATGCTTTCCTAGTTTTATGATTTTAGTTATTTATTATAGACTAACCTTGATGTGCTTATTTTAAGTTGGACTTTTAAAAGGGCCATGTTTGGATTGGTTCCAACTTGTGAGTTAATTATTTCTATTTTGTTTTGAGGTTGTGAACTCAAGTTTTATTTTGAAAGTTGGTTTTTATTTAAGACTTCCGTCGTGCGACTTTGAAAATTAGCCTTAGTCGTTAACACGGTGGCGTTAATATTTTGAATATTTCCTTAAAAGAGTTTTATTTAGAATAAAAAATTATTTTAAAATAAGGTAATTTATGGGTTATTACACTCTTATTCTCCTAATTGTTTGTGGTCGATCACTCATGGAAATCACAGGTTAAAGGTATGAATTATGTGATTTTTTATGTGTTATGTTTGTTGATCCTGTTTAGGTGCGAACGAATATGATTCGTGAAATTCCGTAATATAATACCTAAAAACCTACATCGAGTAATGCAAACCGAAGGTAGTATATTATATATAGATTTTAAAAAATAAAAATAAAAAAAAACCTATGGGTTGTTTGGTGCCCGACACGCCAAGCACATGGGCTGTGCGGTGCCTGGCATGCCATGCCGTGGGCTAGGGTGTGCCCATTGGTGGCCCGGCATGCACGACTCGTTAGAATGCAGGCACTACACGACCCACCACAAGGCATGGCCCGCGACGACACGATACCTTTTACATAACTGTTAAAGGTGATTATTGGGCGGGTCTGGTCGGGCCGAAGCAAAAAAATTAGCACACTTCTCGGATCGGGCCGAGTCATGCCAAGTTTTGGGCCAGAATTTTTGGATCTCTAGCCGAATTAGAGCTAACTCACATATTATATTGCTTCACATGAATCTTTTTATTAAGGCGATCATCAATCGAAGCTGCGATGTAACTAGTTTTAAGGTGATTTGTACTGGTATTGGAATTTTAGATTTCTTAGGAATTATTTATAAGTGTCGTTTGAATATATTTCATTAATGAAATCTTTTTTCACCTTGTTAAAAAAAATAATAAATAAATTGGAAAGTGCCAAAGTCTCCCGCCCTAGTGCGCCTTTAGCCAAGCCAATAAAAGCAATATAGATGTCCAAAACTCCGAACCTAATTTTTAACAAACCCAAAACTTAAAAAAAACAAAAAAAAAGGGTTTTAAATATGTTGAACTTTTCCATACTTTTGTAGGGTTTTTGCGTTTTCACTCTCCCACTGTCATCAGTCTACACTCTCACTCAGTTTCTACATCGTTCTTCCAATCCCCCAACCTTTCAATTAGACCTTTTACATTTTCGGTAAGATTTCTCATAGCCCAATTTCAGTCTTCATTTTTTTGTCATTGTATCTAATTTTTGTTGTTTGTAACATTGAATTTTGTAATGGGTATTTTTTTTTCGGGAATTTTGCAGTATATGAGAAGATTTGAAAAAATTGTAGCATGTATAGTTTGAAGGGAAATTGGGTTGGGCAAACATTTGCTTTAGCTACATCAAATGATTCAGGGGGTAAAAGGTCTCGAATTCGGCGTTCCAAAGAGGAAAGAAAGATTATGATTGAGTCTTTCATTAAAAGGTATCCTTCTGGTTTAATTTGAATGATGTAACTGTATTGCATAATTATTATGGTATACTTCCTCCGTTTTATAGTAGTTGCAATTTTATTTACAGTCTCCAATGCACAATTTTGACTATAACTATCTTGCAATAATTTGGTTTAGATGCAATGTATGCTTTGTTTGATACTTTCTTTGGTTTCTGAATATTTGCAACGGTTTGACTGACCCATTAGCCAATCTATAATTTTGACCATATATACTTCCTCCATTTTCTTTTAGATGCAACACACCCTTTAGCGCGGTAATTATGAAAGGTGGGGTTTACATGATATAATAAACTTTAAATATGACGAGTGGTTACTAGGAGTGTAATTTAGTGGGTCATGTGGTTGTTAGGAGTATAATTTTGAGTTAGTTATTTTAAAAATTGATATTTATTAAAATTACATTGAGATGAATCTAACGACATTTTACCCAATTGCAAGTATAAAAGGATTGGGGGTATATGTTGGTTGAAGCAGGTTACAATTCGTAAATTTATATATAGATGTCTATATGCTGAGGAATTAGATTTTAACTATTCCAATATTATTGCTGACTGGTTTGCAGATACCAGAGTTCTAATAATGGGAATTTTCCATCTCTGAATTTAACTCATAAAGAGGTTGGGGGTTCGTTTTATACCGTTCGGGAGATTGTTAGGGAGATAATTCAAGAGAATAGGGTTCTGGATCCTGGACAATTTAATTATGAAGAGCAAAAAGATGATACCATTGCGGTTGATTATCCGTTGGGAACAATTTCTTCTGAACCTCAAGGTGTTTTGTTTCAGACAACAAGCGGACTGAATGGTTTTTCGAGTCAAGAAAAAAAGGAAACTATGGTGCTCAATTTAGACAACAATGGGCAATCTACCAGTCATTTTGATTTGGATGTTGTCCTGTACTCTACTGAACACCAGACTGAAAAAATAGGGGAAGAGGCTGTTAAGGTGGCATGTATATCAAGTGATAAGATTGTTAACCCTGTTATTTCGGATCATCAAGAACAGGAAAATTTGGAGGAGGTGTCTTTGAATAGCAATGGGCAGTGTTTCAATGTGAGTGAAATGGATAGTGATCATTTTGTAAACCATGTGCAGATTAATGACACGTCTGAGGAGTTTGATAAGCTGTTAGCAGAAGGATCACCAGAATGTGAGAATTTAAAAGCAGGTGAAGAATCAGAAAGTACAGGTACACAAGAAACTAATTCAACACTTTCAACTGAGGTTGTGCAGGTAGAGACTTTCCCATTGAGGCCCACAACTGAGGAAACTAATGACTTAAGAAGCATATCATCTGAATCAGGAAAATTCGATTGTAATTTGAATGATTTGGTAGCTGAAAAGGTTAAATTAAGCAATAGCACTCTGGTCTTGGGTAAAGATATCTCCTCTGACAATTCTTCTGATCTGATGACAATTAAGAGAGAAGAACACTTTGAAGTTTCAGCATCAGGTGGAAGCCATGATATGATAATTCAGCATGCAGAGGTCAACCATATGGTGGTTCAACATAGGGAGGATAATCTCAAAATTGACTCGATAGATATGCCCGATTCGGTCCCAAGCAAAGATGATACTGTATTCCACCATGATCGCGTGAACCAAGTACCACCACATGATGACTCAACATTGAAGACTGCTGAACCAAATAACCTTCAGGTCAGATTTATTTATTTATTTATTAAAGGTCTATTTGTCTTTGACAGTCACTTTGAATGGTTGAGCAGAACACTTAGGTTTCTAGGGCTGATCCTAAAATGCACCAAACATGAAATTCAGTTGATTCATAATTTTGCAGTTTACAAGCATCATGCCAATGCCAAGAGCTTACACTCTTATCTCTCTTATCTTCTTATCCAATTAGGTCTTGTTTGGCTTGGTGGAACCAAAGTGACATTTTTTTTGAGGAACCAAAGTGACATAGTGCACCCATAGGGATAGATGTTATCTCTGCACTCTAACAGAACTTTACTATACCTATTTCATGCATATTCCACGTAAATAATTTTATTTCATAAAACTGAGAATAGTTTCAAAATTTCTGTAAGATTATGTTTGGAACTTGAAATTGAATTTTGGTAAAAAAAAATTGTAATTCAATTCCATAAAATGAAATAACCTTCTCTAAATATCCAACTTTGTCGTTGAAAGTCACCATTTTCTTGAAATGTAAAAAGAAAGAGAGGGGGGGGGGGGGGAGAAATATGTGATTGATAAAGGCTACGTCTTAGCCAATTTGTTGAATTTTTCACATTCCTTAGCATTGGAAGTATTTGTAAGATGTAGTTATGCTTCTTTCACAGTCAAAAGGGTAGGTATTCCTGAAGCCTGGAACTCAAGACAATAAATTGCCCGATTATGATCATTTTAGATGGAACAACAGTGATAATTTCATGAGAACTTTAGTGAACTATAATCAAGGAAGTATTCTAAATAATCAATCAAAGCCTTAATCCAATAAGTGTAGTCAGCTACATTAACCAAAAGTGATTATGCCGCATAGGCATCTACAAAAATTTTCCTACTCAGAATCGAAACCCGTATGTACCCTAATTTTTCGCTCACCCATGTGACAAGCCGCATTAAATTCCTTTATTAGCAAAATTGCCCGATTATGATCATTTTAGATGGAACAACAGTGATAATTCCATGAGAACTTTAGTGAACTATTATCAAGGAAGTATTCTAAATAATCAATCAAAGCCTTAATCCAATAAGTGGAGTCAGCTACATTAACCAAAAGTGATTATGCCGCATCGGCATCTACAATAATTTTCCTCCTCCATCCTAACTCCTTTCAACTAAGTCATTTTTGGCCTCCCTCTCCCTCGTTTAACCTCTCCATGGTCCCTCGGGTCTCACATATGTGAACCAACGTTTGGCGATTTTCCCTTAGTTTGTCTGTAATGCCTACGACACCCATTTTCTTGCAAATAACATCATTTTTTATTTTATCTCTTAGAGTGTTATTGCGCATCCATTTTAACAAAAAGGATCTACTTGCAAATTAAATTAAATTGTAAGCATGAAGCTTACCATTGGAGTGACGATATTGATGTAGCTACATCAAGCAACGTTGCTCAAACAAGCTACGTTGCTTGATTTTTCAAAGAACACTTCACCTACTTATATTATGACATGTGTATAATTAAAACTATTTAATTTATTTGTTCAAGGTACAACATTTTATTTCTCACCATTGGAGCACCTTGTAGCTTAATAACATATTCCGGATGATTGACCCAAGATATTTAAAATATTCGGTCATGGTCAAATCCTTTCCGTCCAAGCTCACTACTTTATAGCTTGTACCTAAGCGGCACACTAAATATTCCAAGTTACTCCGACTTAGCTTAAACCCTTAATACAGACCCTTGATGCACTCCACATGTCCTCACATTTGTCTTCGTAGAATACCTTTTTCAACATAGCTCACCAAAGTACCTCCCTTGGCACCTCCCAATCACTCTCTCTCATGTCAATTTTTTTTATTAATTCTAACTCCCATCCCAATTGAAAGTATTAACCAAATGGGCCAAGGCTGAAAGGATAATCTAGGAGTCTATAGTCACTTGTTCTATATCATAGCTATCATGGAGGTCAAACGCATAATACATCAAATTAAGTTAATTAACCATAATAATAAGGAATTTTTAGAAAATAACACCCAAAAAAAAAAAAAACCCAAAATTTGATAACTTTTAATATAACACCACAAAAATACTAAAAAAATTGATTTCACCACCAACTATTAATGCGATAAAAAAAAAAAACCGTTAGTGGGCCCCACATTGTACACGTGTGAAATGTCTACTGGATTAAAAAGAAATTAAAAAAAAAAAAGAAAAAGAAAAACCCTAAAATCTTAAAACAAGCATCACCTTCACCACCATCCCCCTTGGCCCACCATAGCCACCCCAACCCCCGTTGTCGACTCCCCCTAGCCGACCGATGAAACCAAGACAGCCTAGCTGACCACCTGAACAACGCACCACACCGTACCACGCCTCAGTCCCAATTCAATTTGGTTTGGGTTCAGGTTTGTGTTCTGGTGAGGTTGAGAAGTGTAAGGCGATATTTGGGTTTGGGTGTGGGTTGGGGTTTCGGCGACGAATCTGGGCAAGTGAGGGGAGTTTGGCGATGTTGCTGAGGTAGGTGGTGGTGGTGTGATGTTGCAGTGGTAGGAGTTTGGTGGTAGGAGTTCGGCGACTGGCGATGGAGTTCCGACGGCTTGGTTGGCTTTGCGTCGTGGGGTGGTTTTTGGGGGGTGAAAAGGCAAGAATGGATGGTGGGGCTTGTTTTCGTCGGTTTTAGGTGGGGCAGGGGGTGCCGATGGGCGACGGCTTAGGTTAGGGTGTCGGCGACTCCAGGTGGCTCCGGTGTGGGTCTGGCGTTGTAAGTAGGGGTGAGCATGGGACGAGTACTCGTACCGTTAGTACTAACGGTTCGGGTACCCGATAACAAAATTACTAAAAGAGATATCCATAACCCGAACCGATAAGTTTGGGTATCTGAACTTTGGGTATCCGGATTTTCGGATCGGTTATCGGGTACCCAATAAGATATCCAATAATGATAATTAAACTTAATTTTGTAGGTATTATGATATAATTTACCACTAATTAACAACAATATCATATGATTTTGACCAAATTATTAATAATATCACTAATCATTGATATTATAAAGTAATTATGAAGTAAAGTAAGAGTTTAGATTTAAAAAAAATATATATTTAAGTAGGGAGAAAAACAAAAAGATGCTTATCAGATCGGGTAATCATTAATTTTAAAATGATATCTGTAGGCGTCGTTCGAAGTGCGCGTATGTTAGCATGTTGTGAATATGCTTGGCACTCATAGGAAGTGAGAATTGTCATATACGATTGGGGACAAGAAAAGTAGAGAGCCGCTAACAAGTTTTTAAGGAACTTGTAAACCGTTCACGGATCATAAAAGGCAACCATGAATAAAGGGACAACGATAGGCAGTAAAGATTGACCCGTGAAGGCTACACCCCATTCATAATTCATGAGATTACTAACTCCATATGGTTCGGAACCACGAAAGGAGGATCGGGGATGATGGTATGAAGTGAGTCATGGAGTCACATTCGCCCGTATTGGCCTCTACTTGATTCTTATAGTGAAAAGTGATTCCTGCGATCTCAAAGGCATGCAACCAAAGATTCAATTTGCTCCAAACTATCATTAGGATAAATTGGTTGAATATAAATGCAACACATAATTCTAAAATATTTGTGATCACTTGATTAAACAACAAGATTAAAAAGGAACCTAAACTGGTTGTCCAAATTATCTTATTAGGCGTGATTTTCAATTACATATTCCCTTTAAACATGCAATATGGTGATCATAAAAAATAATAATAGAATTAACATTAATATTGAAAGCAATTCAACAATAAATCCAACAATATAAAATCGTTAGAAAAATAATAGAAATAAAAGGAATATAATTCTTACTTTGATTTTGTTTGCTTGCAACTATAAAACAATAAATGAGTTAGTAACTTCAAGGAAATAAATAAAACAATAAATTAAATTAAATAGAGTGAATTTGGGGCCAAACCCCTAAACAGTTCTACCTTTCATGCCTTGGTTTAAGGACAAAACCTCGAGTAAAGTACGGACTCCTTGGAGTGCTTAAGGAAGGAATTTCAAAAGAAAAGGTAGACTAGTGTTTAGGCTAGAGCATAGAAGACAGAAGAGAGAATTAATTGATTTGGTGCCCTGAACTGTATAAATGAGGGGGGAATTTATAGGGAAATGAGTAGAAGGAACACACGGAACCTTAAAAAGATAAAAAACCTAAAACTAATACCGCGACACGGCAAGGATTCTCGTGACGCAGGGTACTTTGGTGTGACGCGGGACAGAAACAGACCAACTTTGGATATAACGCGTTAGGTTTTACGCGGAGAAAACACGAGAAAATTTCGTTACACGGCAGTGTCCACCGTGGCACGGTATAGTACACCGTGTCACGGTAAAGCGCGGGGGAAATGACACGGAAACAGCACCGTGTCACGGTATATATACCGCGACACGGTACAGATTGTAGTGACACGGTACTATCTGCCACGTCAGATATTGCTGCGACGCGGCAATTCCTGTTTTAACGCATTTTTAAAATTATCATAACTTTTGATCCATAACTCGGAATAAGGCATATAATATATCATTGGAAAGCTTATCAAGTCTACTTTCCAACTCGATTGGAATCAGTTCAAAATCATTTGTAGATTTTAAGATATGGTCGTTTTAGTAGAAGGGTGTCTTTTGGGCTGAGTTTAGTGTTTGGCTCATATCTTCTTCGTTTTAAATCAGAATAAGGCTTATGATATATTGTTGGAAAGCTTATTTCAAGGCTTGTCCAACTAAATAATAATTGGATCAAAATTATAAGGCCAAAAAATCAGTTTATGTCGATTATGCGATATGGACACGAAAAGAGGAAAACAAGTTATGGCGTAGGGAAATAAGCTAGGAAATGGATTGGTTTATGAAATGTATTTAATGTAAACATGGATCTAAGCACTCCAAATATTAAATACTCAACCCGTCCAATAATGGCGGTGAAAGGTTGTTCATCATCGGGTTTGGTTTTAGGGAGACATTTTAGGTGTCTACAATACCCAATAACCATACCCGATAACAAATTATCGGAACGGGTACCCATGGTTACCGGATCGGGTGCCCTAATTTTCGGAATGGTTACGGCTCGATTTTTCGGGAAGTTTTGCTCAGCCCTCCAGAGATAAATTTATTTTTTAATTTTAATTTTTAAACCAATAGATTATTGATACGTGTCAATTATGGCCCCCACTTAACGATTTTTTGGATGAAAAAGTTAAATGGTGGTGAATTCTAATTTTAAAGTTATTCGTGGTGTTGTAGTAAATGTTACAATCCAATTTTGTGTTTATTTATTTATTATTTTTATTTTTTTTATTTTTATCTTATTTTCTAAAATTTCCTAATAATAATAATAAATAAATAAATAAATAAAGAAGCCTTTTTATCCAAGCTGAAAGAAAAAGATCTTTCACAACTTGCAACATTTGTTAAACATGCAAGTTCACTTAACAACGTACATACGCATAATTTCATGCATTTCCCATAACATTTGCGTAGTTTTCAATCATTTTCATTTGGAATAATAATTCATAAAGTTCACCAATAATCGAATAATAATCGATTTAAAGCTTTATAAAAATTCTTAATCCTTAACCAAAATTGGACTCCTAATATCTAATTTGACCTTACATTCTAGAAACACATTTAGTTCATATGTACATAATTCACATAGAGTTTTTGAAATTGCCTTGAAATACTTTTGCAATTTAACTTTTAATTTCAAAAGTTTTAAAAAATCTTAAGTCATACTTGATTTATAGTGTGGAACTGTGGATTAGCTAGACTAGTGAGATCCAAATAGGAGAGCTTAGAGTCGACATTCTCCGGAGCAAAAGTCCAACCTAGGCTCATTGTCAGTCCAACACATCCATGCTATTCATCTTTCTCTAAAATACAATTTTAAAAATATATTTTATACTTAAAGAAGATGTAATGCATATTTTATATGCTTGAAATTGATGGGTAAATTCATGAAATTATGTGCGTGTATGTTATAAAAAATCATTTTCTTCGACTAGCTTTGTGGTGCTAATCTTTTATAGGGAGATATGTGGTTAATAATTATGATGTTGAACAAATCACTAGCCTTAACCCATGTGCCTAATAATTTTATATATGAACCCAAAATCTAAATATGTAAGGACGTGGGATGGTAGTTGGAATGATGAAAAACACTGCATGAGGGCAATGTTACTTGGACTCGGATGAAGTGTCAAATTAGACACGGGTGTCCAAGTATCGGACTCGCCCATTTTCTTAAAAAAAGTTTTGTTTTTAGTTAAAAATGAAGTGTCCAAGTGTCGGTGTCGGTGTCGGTGTCCGACACGAGTCGTGTCGACACGGTTACGTGAGGTCAATGAAAGAGTCCGAGTAACATAGCATGAGGGAATGTAACTATGTAATTAGTAGTTCATCAATTGATAATGGTGTTTGATAATTTTGGAAAAGAGAAAATTAACTAGTGACAAAATCAAGAGGAGAAAGAGAGAGCATAGAGGAGAGATTGAGGTCCAGAGGAGAGAGGGGCTATGGAGGAGAGAGGATAGAGGGTGGGGTCTTTTTTGGGAGGAGAAAAAGTGTGGGTAAAATAGTCAATTAACAATACAAAACTTACCTAAAATAGAAACGTGTCAACTAAAAAAAACTTTCCAAAAAGGAATACGTGTCAACTAAAAAAAACGGAGGTAGTATTTATTTGGAAAACTGAAAATTTATGTACATTCAAATTGGCACTAATTTTTGAATATTTCTGCTGGCGCCTAAATTTAAAGCATAAAGAAGATTTTACTAGAATACCCCTACGCAGTAATAATTATTAAGTAAGATAATCACTAAAGCATAGAAAACAATTACCAAAATACGGGTATTACATCTGCAAACTTCCAAATACTTATTTTGTACCTTCTTACCATCTTTGTGTATCAATAGCACGGTATTTGTGAAATTTTCTGGTGTTTTAGATGTGTGTCAGCTGTATGTACCTTATAATCCTTGTTTAGGCTTCAGTATTCTTTGTAAAATCTTAAACTTTGTGCTGAGTTGTAAGTCTCTGTAGCGACTGACAATTTTTAAGATTTGTCCTTGGGCAACGTTGAATTTGAATGTCGGCCTTAGCTCCTTTATCCTGTATTCCTGTATCTGTAGGCAACAGACCCATCCCTGTCTTAATTAAATAATCTGAGATGAGGATAAACTTAAATTATAATTATCAATCTCTCCCTAGACAGGGTTGAAAAAAGGGAGGAGTAGATGTACTGTACCAAGCCTTGCCGTTAGAAAGTTAGATAGCATTTTGCTATCTTTCTTTCTTCTGAACAAATGTTTGCTACTTTACAACAAATAAGAAATATAGGCAATTCATGAAATCATTTTAAAATAATCTTTTTCAAATCAATGCTTTAGTGTTGTATAGTCTTAATTCTTAAAAAGACTCTGTGAACTATTGTATTAGAAATAGACAGTATTAGAATTAAGAAGGAACAAAGGGAAGGATGCAAGTGCAGTGGTTGAGCTAAAAGTTCGTAGATCCTACATGGATTTAGAAGATATTTTTACTGGACAAAGTAGACACATTTCATACCTGTGTATTCTGAGAAATGCATTATGAAATTGGAATTTTGAGCAGAGGCATTGGAACTTTTTCACATACAGGTACTTAGATTTTTCTGCAGGTCTTCCTCCACAGATGACACATTTAAACTTTATGTGATCGTGAATATTTTGCCTAGTCTGAGATTCAGAATTTACTTTTTGTTCTGATGCTGAATTATGGCTTCGTTTTCTTCTTCCATATGAAGATACTCTCTGTTAGAGTCCTTTTTATCAATATTGTGCAAAGCATTGGTATAATTTGGTGAGTAATCCTTCTTTTGATGCATTGTAGCCAAAAACTGCTTCAAAGGGAACAAGTTGCTTGGAAAATATAAATGATTCAAGTGGCAAAAATTTCAAGGAGCCAACAGTTGTAACTGGAAATGATTCAAAGAGAGATGGAAAACCTATAGTTGGAAGTTCTCCTCTGTTAGATAGAATTGACCTGTAAGTATTCTTAGCGAAGCTACACTTGCATAAGTATAGTTGATTTTATGAATCTTGCTGACTATGATGTTTGCTCTCTTTTTTTTCAGTGAATCATGGAAAGCCTCAAAGAAAGAAGGCAATCCTCTACTGACTATCTTTAAAGCTTTTGTAGATGCCTTTGTTCGATTCTGGTCTGAATGATTTGTTGGTCCCCAAATATGTAGTTGCAAGTTTTGTAGTCACAGTGTATTATTCTGATTAGATTTGCATTCGAGAATATAGCAATGTTAAATATTAAGGTGGGGGTGGTGGTGATTTTGTTGTAGTTTACCGTTGAGCATATACTTGAACAATCTAAAGTGTTTGCTCCGATTTCTTCTGGTTTTCAGCTACGTCTGTGTGTGTAGTGTCTTCAGCCTATATTCTATCATGTCTTCTTATATGTAAATATGGTGATATTTGAAATGAAGCTATGTTTTTAAGTTTGTCATTGACACGATCTCCAAATATTGTATGAAGGCGGATTGACATTAATTTATTGTAATGTCGAATCATTTTTTTTTTAAATTGTTGCCTGTGACTCCTTGATTAGTATCTTTTCCTTGTCTTTATTTTTTTATAAAAAATGAAAGAAAAAAAAAGGCTTAGCTTCAAAAAATTCCATGGTATAGGGAAGGGCTGGACCATTCTTTAGGCCTGAAAAAAATTGACCCTTTGCATTCTATTTTAGATACAACTAGATAATTCTCAAGTTCTTTCCAAAAAAAAAAAAAAAAACAAACAAACCTAACTAGATAATTCTCAAGCTATGTTCGATTTTAAAATTATTGATAATCAAAACAGAAATATAGGACAAGTTACACAATCGTGAATTATAATAATAGTCTTCGAAAAAATTATAATAAATAAATATAATGAATTTACAAAGCAGATTAATGCTTTTATTAAAAATAAAAATATAAAAAATTAGGAGGAAAAACTTCCTAATAAAAAAAGCTCCAATTTAATATAAAGTAATGTAGGACTGGCAATCCTGACGTGACTTACAACCTAAAAGTTGACCTGAACTTGAACTGACCCGACCCAAAATGAATTTGACCCGAATATGAACCAATGATCCAAACTGACCCGATCTGAAATTGACCCTTAACTTGACCCGACCCGTAGTGACCCGAAACCCAAAATGACCCGACCCTATTTTAACCCGAATTTAACCTGAATTGATTGACCCAAATCAACTTGACTCAATTCCTGTAGTGATTAGGGTGAGATGGTGAATTACTTAGTTTAGGGCTTCTTTCTTTCGTTCCTCGGTCATAGGTACTCATCATGATTTTATTTTTAACGATTTTACTTTATTTTTTCAACTTTTTTTTTAAAAGTGAATTTATTTTGGAGACCCGACACAAAGTTGATATGACCCGAATTAACCCGACCTAAAAATTGGTCCTAAAAATTGGCCGGACTCGACCTGAACTTGACCGAAGTGTTGACCCGAAACTCGAAGTGACCCAACCCAACTCGAACCTGACCCGAATATTTGCTGACTCGAAAATGACCCGACCCAATTTGATCCGATCCGAAAGACCCGTTTGTCAGGTCTAAAGTAATCGATTGCAATTAAAAATAAATAAATAAATAAATAATTTATATACATAGTATAAGAGATAGTACTATTAAGTTAGTGGGCCATAAAATGAAAATTTTGAATTTGAATGTTAGGGCTGGGCTGGACTTCGGGATGGAATAATGGCAGTCCAATTACAGCCTTAATATACTTAAGGTCTAGCTAGTAGCTACTATTGACTAGTTGACTACAGACTACAACTGCCTTCATTTTCTTTTAATTCTGGTCACTTCATAGTTCATATTAACTTTTTATGTCCCCTCAAAAAAAAAAAAAAATAAAAAAAAAAACAACAACAAAACTATTTTTTTTTTATGGAAAACTAAAGAACATTAGAGTATTTGATTTGTTTATAAGCAAATTGTATAAACATTAATATATTGAAGATATACATATACATATTATAAGACAAATTCAATAATGTGTTTCTTTTTTAATTATCAAATATTTATTTACTACTTTTTTTTTTTTTTTTTTTTTTTTTTGGAAATCGATTGGTTTATGTTAATATTGTATATTTGTCATGTATATTTTTTTAGAAGTTTTAGGCAAGTTAGGTCTCTTTGTATTATACTATATGTATGGTTGTGTATTTTAATACAAGGCGAAGCCGTTTTCTCTAATTGTTCTTGAGTTTAACATGGTATCACAACCTCTTTAAAATTAGAGAATTTTTTTCGATCCATGTAATTTCATTCAATTCGTATTTTTTTTTGTTAAAATTTTCCACAAAAGTGTGAGATTAGGGCTTCATTATTTGATTCGTGTGTGTGTTGAGGGGTTAGGTTTTAATCTCTCGATTTGGTGTGTGGTGCGCTACTTAGGGTTTGTGTACGCTGCTTTGTTGTGGGTGTATGTGTAGTACGCGTGTTGTGTGCTGGTGTGTTGTGTGGAGGGCGCGTGATGAATTTCAATACAAGGCGAAGCCGACCTTTTTCTCCAATTCTTCTCGAGTTTAACAAAACCCAAGTTTTAAAATTTTAACCACATAAAGGCCGCGTTTGGTTTAATGTAAAACATTTTTAATGGAAAATTAGTTTTCATGGAAACATATTTTCAAGGAAAAACACAATTGCAAATTAGTTTTCCTTTGTTTGGTTGCATACAAGAAAAGTCCAAGAAAAATAAAAAATAAGAGTGAAAATGTAAGGATGAATGAGAGGGAAGTAAAAAAAGAGGTAAGGAGGAGAGAGGAAAATGTGGCTTCCCTTGTTTTTGGAAGGAAAATGTTTTCCATCATTAAGGATGGAATTTTCCACCCTTGAAAAATTGTTTTCCACTCCTTAACAAACCAAACAAAGGAAAATGGGAAAAAAAAAATGGAAAATTCATTTTCCATGAAAACCTTTTACATCAAACCAAACAGGGCCAAAGTGTAAACATTTGTGGTTCATTATATAGCAAAGAGAGATTTAAGTGGTAAATCTTAAAAGTATCAAGCAAAGTACTAGAGAAAATGGCAGAAAAATTATAGTACCATAAATCTATAATGCTATAAACTACATTTCAATTTTATATAATTTTATATTCTTTCAATCTGTTTTTGTTAATTCTACATTTTTTTGCAATTCTCATGCAAATTTCATATGGAAAAATACTTTAATTAAATATTCAAAAAATAATATAATATATTAAAATAAATTATGTATACATATGGAGATAAATGCCATATGTATAAAGATCAAGCAGAATTATACTACCACCATTTTTATTTAGTTGACACCATTTTTTTTATTATTATACTTGCCTTAACAAATCTATAAATATTACTAAAGTAACAACCGCTGACGTCATCACTGTTTACGTGTTACTCTCTCACTTAATTTTTTTTCCCGCCAAAATGCAAGGAGGATGTCATTTTTTTTAACTAATTTTTATTCCATTTTGAGTTACCCTATTTAACTGTTTTTAAAATTCAATTCAAATAGAATTTTAAATTTCAAGTTTTCTACGCATATTATACTATTTTATTATTTACAAGTAGTTGTTAAAAAAAAGCTAATAATATACTACGTATTTTAACTAATTCTTTCTAATTAAATATGAAAATATGGATTTTTGAAAATTGTATTTTCATATATAATTAGAAAGTACATAATACAGAGAAAGTAGTTGTTTTCTCTCAACATGTGTTAAAGAGTCTATAATTCATTTCTTATTTTAAAACCGTGCATCGCACGGGACTAAACTAGTAAAATGAAGAAAGTAAGGTCTTACACAGTACTGAATTTATAATAAAAAAAAAAAAACATAACAAATAAAATCAAAAACAAATATTACAAAACTACCATACAATGTCTTTATTTTTACAAATTCTTTCGTGTTTCTATGAGATGGAAGAAAGCATCGCTTCATTGGATATTTTACATTGTAGGTGATGAGGTAAGATAGAAGAAAATAAGGTCACTACAATGCATGTTTGTTGGATATGAATTTGATATTGAAAAAATCAACTAGTATGAGATTCCCATCACAAGGTATAAGATGCTATTTAGCTACTCCTAATATTATATGTAGATTCACTATATTGTTGACGTTTTAAAAAAAATATTATTGTTAAAATGGCCCTTGTTGACTAAAATATGCGTTTGTGTATGAGATAAATGTTGCCTGATCTACTTAGCCAAATAGGAAAGTGCTAAATAAATAAAGCTCACATTCAAGCAACTAAGGCGAGAAAAGGGCAAATCTAAATCTCTTGTTTAGGTTTTAGGAAAGTGCTAAATAAATAAAGATCACCAATTACATACTAGGTTTTATTTGATCACCAAAAACTAAACCTAACAAATAAAAAAAAAAAAAACAAAAACAAAAACAAAAAAAAATTTACTTTGATCACCAATTACATACATAACAATTAAAATTTTATTCACTTGACAGGATTATTCTTATCACATAGTTTACAGTTTAAACTTTAAATCTTATGAATTAGGTTGTGTTGTTGGCGAAAATCCCCTAAGGACATTTTAGTATTCTACCATCATGAATGTGAACTTATTTTTATTTAAAAAAAAATAATTGTATATGAACTAAAATATGAAGAAGAAAACCAACATTTGAAAAATGCGCATTCCAATGCTTTGATGTGGAGATTTCAGCTACAAAATATGGTCATACATATTAACGTAATGGGAGAATGGGCATATCATATTTTATTGTATTTTATTTTTTATAATAAGGCAACCTCCAAAGTTATCTAAGAGAATTTTCATATTTTGTCCATTTAGTTAATTTAAGTTGAATTGAATATATATGCAAAAGGACCACTCAAAATTGTGTATGTCATTGTATCAAACTATCAACTATACAACTGTACACCCTGTCTAACCCAAAAAACAACAAGTATACACCCTAGCAAAAGATTCTTTGTATTAACCTCTCTAAGACAAGCATCAGCCATTTATAAAATGAAGAATGGTTTCAGTATGGAGAGAAAACCGACTTAATTTTTATGTATAATGTACATTTGTGTTAAAAAAAAATACTCATTTTACCAATTAGCTACATGTAAAAAACTAACTCATTACTAAGTTTTTCATGGTATGTTGCTTCAAAAACATGTTAATTATTAAGCGTGCACAAAAACAACTGCAAGCCACCATACATACATGGCATGCTACCCCTGCAATTCAATTGTCCAAATGAAAGCTTTTTTCTTTAACAATAACATTAACATTACTTTTAAAGATTGATAGATAGTGCATGACTATCTATGCAGTTGACTTTACTCCCTAAAAAAAATAATTAGATTCGACTTCATAAAAATTGCTATTTAACATTATTATTTTTAAGTGGCTTAATATTTGAATAATCATTGTCCTGTTTTTTCTTGTTCTGCCTGCTGGCTACTGCTAATACTCCCCCTTAATTCCATTTGTTTTTCATTGTCTTGCATAGTAATTGGAAT